TTTACGCCTAAAGAGAAAGCCGATATCACAGCACCTGTGTAAACGTAAGGAGTAGGTTTGTAGCTGGCAAGGGATGGGGATGGGACCCTGGCTGACAGCTTTCGGTTGTGAACACAGCTGCAGGATGGGGATGGCCCTGGTCGAAGGGATGGGGAAGGGACCCTGGCTGGCAGGATGAGGATTGGGGGAACACAGCTGTAGGAGGGGATTGGAAACCCTGGCCGAAGGGATTGGGGATGGAACCCTGGCTGGCACGATGGGAAACCTGTCTCGAGGGATGGGATTAGCACCGGCCCTTAAGATGGGAGTCAGTCACCCAGCCAGGATGGGAGGATGGCTGACCACTACCAACCCCCAGGATTGGGGGATTAGACCCTTTTTGCAACCCTCTGGGCAAACCAGGGCTGTTGGGTGACTGGAGCCATCAGCGGAGATGGATGGGTGCACCACCAAGTACACAGGGATGAATCCGTATCGGGGCGCTCGGTGGTACTCCCCCTGGATCAAGCAGATTCACCGAGCTGCCTGGATGAGGAGGAAGGGGAACCAGGGATGCAAGGGATTGTGTTTATATTTTGAGGAGTTGACAGAGCATTGGGCAGTAGCCAGTGATTATAGGTGTTATGATTGGATGGAACACCTGGCAACAGCAGGTACAAGGCATGGTGAGGCGATGCTGCACTGAGCAACACCAACCCACCACCATCATCATCATCGCTGCGATCAGATGAGATTTCGATGATGGAGGTTCCTGGCTGGGGCTTGTGTTGCTGTTGCAGTCCTGAGGTGTCCGTGCCTACAGCCAGCAGCAGCAGTCTCAATTGTCAAAGGAGATGGGTGGGCACCCAACCATGAACCAGGCAAAAGCACATAGCAACCCACCCGTAAAGTCCATGGCGTGCCGTTGTGAAGATCCAGTGCCATTGATGCATGGACCCGAGGGTCCACTGGCCGGGCATGGCAAGCTCATGGCTCATTGACGGTACCCAATGGCATACTCCAGGCCGGTTCCGGCCTGGTTCCGACCTAACGGGTCCAGTTAACGAGATGGGTAACCGGTCGGTAGGATTACCGGGCGAACCGTTATCCGTTAACCGTCCCCAGTAATCGGTAACCGATGTCGGTAACCTGGCATGAGCAAAAATGCATTTCTGAATGCAACCAGTTTCTTTGTGACAATGCCCATTGTCACAAGGTTCATGCCCACGTGTCACACCCCGACAAGCTTGAGGAGGTTACGGCAATGTGAATGCCGGGTGACAGGGGTGACAGTCTTGTGCAGGCACATTTGGAGACTAGTTTACACTGAGATTGGGGTGATGTTGGATTAGAATACTTGCAGTTCATGAAATTGAGGAAATGTGTTGCATAGGCATATCCAAACGTTTCAGAGGGACGTTGTTTCGCCCGTAACAAACTTGTTACGGGCGAAACAAACTGGATTTCCACAGTCCCACCACTCAAAGAGCTCCCCACACCATCGCAAAGTCCCTTTTTTATTACAGACACATGTAACAAGTTGTCATAGCTTGAGATTGTCGATATATGACTGCTGG